TGACTCCGAGGGAAAGCACGACCAGGACCATAAATAAAACCTCCCTTCCTGCTCAGATCCAAGCACGTGGACCGGCTCTGAGTAACACCCACATTCAGTGGGCTGCCCTGCTAGAAGCTCCCCGGGCCTCGCTGCCGGTCCTGAATCATCAGCCTTCCTGAAACTGACTCGGATCTACAGCTGAAACCTCAGCACGTCTCAGACGGTAACCAAGGCTCCTTACACTGGGCGAGTCAAAACACTCTCCCTGCAGGAAAGGAGCCTAAACACTAGAATAGCAATAATAAAGAAACAAGGTCAGGCACGGTGGCTTGTGCCTGTAATCCCAGCATTTTGGGAGGCCGAAGCAGGTGGATCGCTTGAGCTCATGAGTTCGAGACCAGCCTGGGCAGCATGGCAAAGTCCCATCTCTACAAAAAATAGAGAAATTAGCTGGGTGTGGTGGCATGCCCCCTGTAGTCCCAGCTACTTGGGGCTGAGGTGGGAGGATCACTTGAGCCCAGGAGATCAAGGCTGCAGTGAGCTGTGATCCTGACACTACCCTCCAGCCTGGATAACAGAGCCAGACCCTATCTCAAAAATAAATAAATGAATGAAAAATAAACAATTCCAGTTTTGTTTTGATTTTGGCAAGGGTAGGTATGTGGACGGAGTTTCACTCTCGTTGTCCAGGCTGGAGTGCAATGGTGCAATCTTGGCTCACTGCAACCTCCCATGTTCAAGCAATTCTCCTGCCTCACCCTCGCTGAGTAGCTGGGACTACAGGCATGTGCCAGCATGTCCGGCTAAGTTTTGTATTTTTAGTAGAGATGGGTTTTCACCATGTTGGCCAGGCTGGTCTCTAACTCCTGACCTCATATGATCCACCCACCTCGGCCTCCCAAAGTGCTGGGATTACAGCCGTGAGCCATTGCACCCAGATCACTTTTTGTAATGATAGTAATAAAGAAACAAGTTCAGGCCAGGTGCAGTGGCTCATACCTGTAATCCTAGCACTTTGGGAGGCCGAGGTGGGCGGATCATGAGGGCAAGAGATAGAGACCATCCTGGTCAACATGGTAAAACCCCAGGAGATAGAGACCATCCTGGTCAACATGGTAAAACCCCATCTCTACTAAAAATACAAAAATTAGCTGTGCATGGTGGTGCATGCCTGTAGTCCCAGGTACTCAGGAGGCTGAGGCAGGAGAATCACTTGAACCCAGGAGGAGGAGGTTGCAGTGAGCGGAGATCATGCCACTGCACTCCAGCCCAGCGACAGAGGGAGACTCCGTCTCAAAAAAAAAAAAAGAAGCAAGTTCAAATCCATGGGTATTAGCACACTGGTGACACCTGTCGGCACAAGTATGCATTAGTTTTGTAATCATTATAATAGCATACAATTGCTTTGTCTATTTGTTAAGGTATTTACAACATTTGCAAGCACCTGACATTAGATTTGTGAAGGGTTTAAGCAATGGCATTTGGAAGGAATGTTGAAATGATTAGGGAAATCTGGTTTGGAGGAAGATTTAGAGGAACAGCTGTTTAATGATTTTTATCAAAGAACAAAGATTAGTTAGTATTCCTGTCCTTACACACGCAAGCCCCTGAATGTCTGAGAATTTAGCAGCATGGAAAAATTGCTACTTGTGGATGGGCGTGGTGGCTCTCGCTTATAATCCCAGACTTTGGGAGGCTGAGGCAGGCAGATCAGTTGAGCCCAGGAGTTCAAGACCAGCCTGGCCAACATGGTGAAAACTGTCTCTACTAAAAATACAAAAATTATCCGGGCATGGTGGTGGGCACCTGTAATCCCAGCTACTCAGGTGGCTGAGGCACAAGAATCTCTTGAGCCCGGGAGGCAGAGATTGCAGTGAGCTGAGATCACACCACTGCACTTCAGCCTGGGCAACAGAGCGAGACTCTGTCTCAAAATAATAATAATTAATAATAAAATGAACTAAAAAAGAGGAAGCTCCCTATATAGTGATATGGAAAGATTATCAAAATTTATTAAATGAACCAGGCCTGGTTATAGGCACATGCCTATAATCCCAGCACTTTGGGAGATCGAAGTGGGAGGATGTCTTGGAGTCAGAAGTTCGAGATCAGCCTGGGAAACATGGCAAAACCCCATGTCTGCAAAAAATACAGTGCCATAGTCCAGCTACTCAGAAGAATGGCTTGAACTGGGGAGATCACACCACTGCACTCCAGCCTGGGTGACAGGGCGAGACCCTGTCTCAAAAAAAAAAAAAAGGCAGAGAAGATGGGCTCAGATGAGAGTCTGTTTGTCTGTCTGAGCCTCCTGTGCCCTCTCCTCACCCTCTTCCCCAGGGAACGGGCCACCCAACATTCAAGTGTAGGAAAAGCAAGAACTGAAGGGTGGTTCCCTAAAGAGATCCAACTCTGACAGCCTGAGGTGGTAACTACAGTAGATGCTGGCATCTGAAATGAAAAAAAAAAAAAAAAAAAAAAAGGCAGCCAGCCCTACCCTGGCACTTGGGGCGGAGGGGAGGAGCAGCTGGAAGTAGGGCTCTTGGACCCTTCTCCGCCCACAAGTGAGACCAGCCTGTTGGCAAGTCCTCCGCCCCAGACACAAAGCTCCCATTCATGCTGTAATATAGGCCCACGCCAGTGGAAAAACTCAGATATTTAGAAGAGGAAGCGCACCCCTGTCACCTGCAGACACCAGCCTCATCCCTTGTTTGGGAAAGTCAAGAGACAAGCAAGGCTGACCAAATAGGAAGAGAAAAATCAGCGCTGAGCAATGGGACCCAAAGTCAACAGCTAATTCAGGACCCAATCAAGGTGCAACTACAATATTTGGTTGTTAAGATCTCTTTGGTCTCTTTTATAATAACAATAATTATTTTTTAGAGATGGGGTCTCACTATGTTGCCCAGGCTGGAGTGCAGTGGCTATTCACAGGCACCATCCCACTACTGATCAGCACGGAGTTCTGACCTGCTCCATTTCCGATCTGGGCCGGTTCACCCCTCCCTAGGCAACCTGGTGGTCACCCGATCGGCATAGTGAACTACAGCCCAGAACTCCTGGACTCAAGCGATCCCCCAGCCTCAGCCTCCCGAATAGCTGGGACTACAGGTAGGCGCCACCGTACCCGGCTCTTTTGTAATTATTTGTATGTTGACTTTTTGAAGAGTCCTGGCCAGTTGGGGATACCCCCATTCTCAATGCAAGATGATTTCCATTTTTTGTTTGTTTGTTTGTTTTGAGACAGAGTCTTGCTCTGTTGTCCAGGCTGGAATGCAGTAATGCAATCATAGATCACTGTAACCTTGACGTCGTGGGCTCAAGCAATCCTCCCATCTCATCCTCACAAGTATTAATGGCTGAGTCTATAGGTGTGTACCACCACACCTGGCTAATTTTTTTTTGCAGAAATAGGGACTCTGGTCTCGAACTCCTGGGCTCAAGTGATCCTCCCACCTCCTCTTCCCTAAGAGCTGGGATTACAGGCATGAGTCACCAGGCACGACCTATTTTCTCATTATTAAATTTAGGTTCAAAGTTTAGGTCTGGCCAGGCGCGGTGGCTCACACCTGTAATCCCAGTACTTTGGGAGGCCTAGGCGGACGGATCACCTGAGGTCAGGAGTTTGAGAACAGCTTCACGAACGTGGCGAAACCCCATCTCTAGTAAAAAATACAAAAATTAGCCGGGCATGGTGGTGGGTGTACCTGTAATCCCAGCTACTCGCGAGGCTGAGGCAGGAAGAATTGCTTGAGCCCGGAAGGCGAAGGTTGCAGTGGGCCGAGATCGTGCCACTGCACTTTAGCCTGAGCGACAGAGCGAGACTCTGTCACAAAAAAATAAATAACCCCCCCCCCAAATCCGGAATGCAAAACAAATATAGGCCTACGCCTTTCACATAAGGAACTGCGTGTGGATCTGTGCTAAAAACCCTACCAATAATACAGTAATTTTACAACCTACAGCAGAAAATGCTTTCAAAGGCGGTCGGTACAAATAATATTAGTCAAATTAGCGTTGGCTCTGAGCCCGGCACTGCTGCGCGCTGCACACGCAGAGTCTCACGCGTCCTCACGATGGCGCTGTGGGGCCTGGCGGAGGTTTCTAGGGGAAGGGGCCTTGGGGAATCCAGGCTCTCCGGCTGTGCGGTCCCCGCCCACCCCAAACTAGCGACTTAGACTGCGTGCAATAGACCAGGTATCTCTGGACTTCAGTTTCTCAGGAGAGGCGTCCACGAGGAGGTCATGCATATAAAGCGTTTAGCACCGTGGCAGATACGAGCCAGTGGGCCTGGAGAATGATTTACAAACGTGGGCGCGAGGCCTGGCGTCCAGAAAACTAGCTCTGGGGTGTCTGAGATCAGTCACCTTGAGGTCCCTGGTGCAATCTGGGGCCATGAGAAGGGACTGCAAAGACCCAAGGGAGGTAAAGGGAGAAAACGGGTCGTGGCCCCATCCTGACCGATACTGAACCTCCGGATTAATTCAGTTGTCTCTAGCTGGGGGCATGGGGAGGACGGGGGAGTCCTAGGGTGGGAGGGCACAGGTTTGTCATTGCTGCAGAGAGTGTGTGTGGTGGAGGGGCTGAATTTCAGACCAGGCCCGGGCTTCTGAGAATCTAGCCCTGGGAAGCAATGTAAATACAAGAAAATCCCCGTGGCCAGGGACTTTGATCCAAGGGTTTCGTATCAGGCCCTGGGTCGGGATCACAGCTAAGCGGTTTACCAGCCGTGGACCTGTGCACGATCCCATCGATGTTGTGAATGGTGGAGGCGGCCGCGGGCAGGAGGCCAGAACCGGGAGGGAACTGGACGTGGATGGGGGCAGGGGAGCTAGGACCAGTCCCCCCGCGGGTGGGGGGGGCTTGGGGACCTGAAATTCGTCCACTCAGAGGAGGCGGCTCTCCCAGCTGCGGGCTCAGGATCTGGGGGCGAGGGCTGGCCCCGCTCCCCGCCGCATCCCCCTCGCCACCCGCAGCCCTGCCAGGTCCCCCGCCCGCCCGCACACCCTCGCTCGCTCCCGCCCCGCCCCCGCCCGCGGGATCTCAGAGTCGCCGCCCCCGGCGCCGGGCTGCAGCCGCCACGCCCCAGGAGAGGACCGACCGCTCAGACCGCCTGTCCCGGGGCTCCCTGGGCCACGCCAATCCCGGGGAGCCCCCCGACTGCCTCCCAGAGCAAAGTGGGGAAGAGAAGCTTAGCCCGCCGCTGCCGCCTCCGAGCAGGCCGCCAGGTGAGCGCCGGGACAGATAGGGGACCGAGGTCGGGAGCCAAGCGTCAGTCGGGTTCTCGCCTGCAGCCTGGGCGCCTCGGGAAGGATTCCCGCCCCAGGCCCTGCCCGGAGGGGCGGCTCCCTGGGAGTCTGGTAACCCGCAGCGTCCCTTCCCCGGGCCCTGCCGCGGCCTGAGGCTCCTTTAAACCCAAAGTTATACAAATGTACGTTAGAAAGCCCTAAATCTGGAAGGGCTTTGCTTTGAAAGTAGGTGTTCGAATGCCCAGGCTTCTCCACCCCTGCGCTCGTCCGCCGAGGCCACCATCCAAAACCCCTGCCAAACGCTGCAATCCTACACGTGGGCGCCACAGCCTGGGGAAGGCTAGGCCGCTTTTTACCGTTGCTGGATTTTCTGTCTTCTGGCCTGCAGTCCCTTCGCAGAATCAGTGAATCAGAAGCCTCGGAGGGCGGTTTCTTGATTTAGCAACTTGGGCACATTATGTGTTTCGCCACGGCCGCAACTCTCGATTTAAATGTTATGCTGCTATGTTACTTTTGCAGTGTTAGCGAGTTGTTCTAAAGCTCTGTATATTGCCTCTTCAACTTTAGACAGCGTCTGTTTACTCCATAGTTTGAAAGACAAATAGTAAAATGTTCCAGTGACACACGACACTCAGACACATAGAACATGGCTTTGCATGGAAAACAACACGCCTTTAAACCTCTCCCTCACCACCGCCCCCAACCCCTGTCGGCCAAATGCATTTTTTTTTTTTTGTAATTACATTACTTTTCAAAAATGGCAAAAAGTAACTCACGATCGCTGCTGCCTCGTTTTTAACTTTTTCCACTTTTGATTCCTTTGATTCCTTTGGTGTCTATTGCCAAATCTTTAAAGCAGATTTTTGAATTATTTATTTCATCAACTTTTAGATGAGGCATCCATGGGTCCCTTGCTAAAACAGGAGACAATTTTCATCATCTCCATGTTCTCCTCGTCTCTGTATAATCACCTCCTGTACAGTCAGGGCATTACTTTTAACTTCTCTATTGGGTGCTTTTCTACCATTAAATAATTTTTTAAAACTTGGATTGATTGTTCCATTAAATATACCTAATACCTGTTGACTCTCTTTTTGTAAGGCTTGTCTAAGGCGCTTCTTTTAAAAAATAGATCTTTAGGCCAGGCGCAGTGGCTTACTGCTGTAATCCCAGCACTTTGGGAGGCTGAGGTGGGAGGATCACCTGAGGTCAGGAGTTGGAGACCAGCCTGGCCAACATGAAATCCCATCTCTACTAAAAGTACAAAAATTAGCCTGGCATGGTGGCGGGCGCCTGTAATCCCAACTACTCAGGAAGCTGAGGCAGGAGAATTGCTTGAAGCAGAGGTTTCAGTGAGCCTAGAACGTGCCACTGCACTCCAGCCTAGGCGACAAGAGCAAGACTCCATCTCAAAAAAAAAAAAATATATATATATATATATATATCATATATGTTGCCCAGGCTGGAGTGCAGGGTTGTGATCATGACTCTGGAGATTTGACCTCCTGGGATCAAGAGATCCTCCCACCTCAGCCTCCTGAGTAACTGGGGCCCCAGGCACACACCCCCAAACCCCAATAATTTTTGTATTTTTTGTGGGTATGGGGTTTTGCGGTGTTGCCCAGACTGATCTCAAACACCTAGGCTCAAGCCATCTACCTGTCTCCGCCATCGAAAGTCCTGGGATTACCGGTGTGAGCCACTGGCGCCCAGACAAAAAGATATATTTTTAAAGTAACATTTTTGTATATGTGTAACTGTTCATTTCTCCAATTCTAGTCAAGTTCTACATATGGCTTACAAATCAAATAGAAAAGTTTGCATTAATTTTTTTCTGTGATAAAAGTAATACAGTCTCTTTTGGAAAAATGGAAAAGGCAGTGTTTTAGACTAAAAGAGGTGAGTGAGACCTCACCACCCCCAGTGGTGTTTGAGCCTCCGCGGGGATCTTGTTAGGAGGAAATAGCCACAGAAGACCGGCTAGAGACAGGGAAATTGTTCACGGAGTGGGTATTGACGGCAGAATGGATTTCTCTTTATGGTGTTAAGAAGGATCACCTTTAAACCCATAGGTTGCCCTTATTCTTAGGAGAGTCATCAACGCTGCCTGGTGCAGTGATTCACGCCTGTAATCCCAGCACTTTGGGAGGCTGAGGCGTGTGGACGACCTGAGGTCGGGAGTTTGAAACTAGCCTGGCCAACATGCTGAAACCCCGTCTCTACAAAAATACAAAATTTAGCAGGACATGATGGCAGGTACTTGTAATCCCAGCTACTCGGAAGGCTGAGGCAGGAGAATCACTTGAACCCCGGAGGTGGAGATTGTAGTGAACTGAGATCACGCCATTGCACTCCAGCCTGGGTGACAAGAGCAAAACTCTGTCCAAAAAAAAAAAGAGAGAGAGAGATAGAGCACAAACATGGCAAAACGTGGAGCATATAGTGATGTTCATTTGAATACTCTTTCAACTTGTCTATATAATGAAATTTCACCGTAAAAATTGGGGGAAAATAAAGTAAGATCATTTTGAAACAAAGAGACGGAAGACACGTATACCGCAGCCAAACTATGGAGTCCTGCATACCAGAATTCCAATACCAGCAGGTTGTTTTTTTCCTTTGAGATGGGGTCTCCCTCTGTCATCCAGGCTGCAGTGCAGTGGCATCATCACAGCTCAGTACAGGCTTGATCTCCTGGGTTCAAGCAATTCTCCTGCCTCAGCCTCCCGAGTAGCTGGGACTGCAAGTGCACACTACCACACCCAGCTAATTTTTGTATTTTTAGTAGAGAGCGTGTTTCACTGTGTTGGCCAGGCTGGTCTCAAACCCCTGACCTCAGGTGACCCACCTGCCTTGGCCTCCCAAAGTGCTGGGATTCCAGGTGTGAGCCACTGCACCCGGCCTAGCTTTTATTTTGTTTTGTTTTGTTTCTGTTATTTTTCCTTGGTCCCACTTTACAAAACCCGCCATTCTCTTACTACCCAGTGAGGGTCTCAGTCTGTTTTGTGGGACGGAGGATCATCATTCAGGAATCTTGACTAAAAGCCCATTAGCTCTATAACGAACTTTGTTGTCACTTTGTGTTTTGACGTGGCTCTGTTGCTTCTTTGCTCGGTGACTGTGCACACATTGCTTCCCTCCTCCAAGCCTCAGTTTCCCCATGTGTCTACTTCGTGGAGTGGTTTGAAGCTTCTGTGAGATTTTGTGAAGCACTTCCCACATGCCTGGAGCAAAATAAGTGCTCAGTTAACAGTAGCTGTTAGTATTTTGTGAAGGCACTTCCTTAACTGCCGTAGCATGTTCACCTATGACTAACAATGTTAACATAACTGGTGCACCCGGCTCCTTCCTTTTTCTTTTTCTTTTCTTTTCTTTTTTTTTTAAATTGAGACAGGGTCTCACTCGCACCCAGGCTGGAGTGCAGTGGCACAGTCTCAGCTCACTGCAGCCTCAGCTTCCTAGGCTCAGGTGATCCTCCCACCTCAGCCTCCCGAGTAGCTGGGACCGCAAGCGCACACCACCGTGCCTGGCTAATTTTTTTAATGTTGTTTGCATGTTACCCAGACTGGTCTCAAACGCTTGGGCTCAAGCCATCCTCCTGCCTTGGCTTCCCAAAGTGCTGGGATTACAGGCTTGAGCCACCGTGCCCAGTCACCACTCTTTTTCTAGGGATAGATTTGGAACTTGGTGTTTTCTTTTTCCTTTTGAAAATTCATCGAACGATCATGCCAGAGGTTCAGTTTTTGTCCTGCTGTGTTTCGCCTTGTTATTTCCTAAGCACGCCTGTCCTTATCCCACATTCTTCTAGTCTCTGGTCACAGCAGATGGAGGTGCCCACGTGGACTCCTCCATCCCATAGCTGGGCGTTTGATGCTAATCATAGCAACTCCTCACAGTGGCAGCAAACATTTGTCAAGGGCCAGGCCCTCATCTCATGAAATTTCCCCACAACCGTGAGGGACAGGGGTTATTAGAGGTCCATCATCTCTGATCCAAAACTCTTGGAACCAGATGCATTTGGGAATCTAGACTTTGAACTTTTTTTTTTTTTTTTTGAGATGGAGTCTCCTCTGTCACCAAGACTGGAGTGCAGTGGCCCCATCTTTGCTCACTCTATCCTCCACCTCTCAGGTTCAAGCCATCCTCCTGCTTCAGCCTCCCGAATACCCGGGATTATAGGCATGCAACACCATGCCCAGCTAATTTTTGTATTTTAGTAGAGATGAGGTTTCACCATGTTGACCAGGCTGGTCTTGAACTCCTGACCTCAAGTGATCCGCTCCCCTCAGCCTCCCAAAGTGCTGGGATTACAGGCAAGAGCCACCGTGCTCAGTCTAGACTTTGAATATTAAGCAAGTTGTACAGAGCCCATTTGATATGTGACGTTAGACCCCTAGTAGGGCTGAGGAGCATTTGTGTGATCAAACACTAATATGCCTTCAGTGAAGTTCAGGTTCATTCTCACGGGACAGCCAAAGACTACACCAAACTTTATGACAGCTCAGCTCAAGTCAGCTTCTGCCACAAAGTGGGTCTGGGAAAAGCTTTCGGTTTTCTGAGCTTTTGAACATGCAGACTGTGGATGAGAGATGTAGACCTGCACATTTCCCATCTTGCAGAGGGGACATCCTCACACACACAGAGAGAAAGGATCGGGCACGGTGGCTCATGCCTATAATCCCAGCACTTTGGGAGGCCGAGGTGGGCAGATCATTTGAGGTCAGGAGTTCGAGACTAGCCTGGCCAACATGGTGAAACCCCATCTCTACTAAAAATACAAAAATTAGCTGGGCATGGTGGTGTGTGCCTGTGGTCTCAGCTGTAGAGGAGGCTGAGACAAGAGGATCAATTTAGTGCAGGAGATGGAGACTGCAGGGGGCTCTGACTGCACCAGTGCACTCCAGCCTGGGCAACACAGTGAGACCCTGTCTCAGAAACAAAATGCTTTTTTTTTTCTTTTCATAATCATTCATGTTCTG